GTTTGCGAGCATAATTAGTTCTGGAAACAAACTACTCATATTGCAAGACATCGCTCGTTTACCACGTTAAAATGTACATTAGAAATGTTTGCTCATCTTGTGGAACACTTGCAAACCAAGTTACTCGCAATCCAAGGTTTTACTTGGATTGAATGAATACAAGGGTTATGTTTTGCTAGGTTCTAATTCATTAAGAAAATACCTGTGAGCACCTGCTCTGTGCCCAGCCCCTTGGCATGAGAGGAAGATGGGACATTCAGAGATAAACAAAACAAGGAATTCTCATCCGCTAGAGGAGCCCAAGCATAGAATCACATAACTATAACCCATGGCAGGAAGTGGAGACTAGATATGGAGATGAGGCTAGACAGGCAAGTTTGAACTGGGAAGGGATCAGAAATCTCTCTGGCTCTTACGTCCAAATCATTGCCTCCCCGGGAGAACTGGGAGAACTAGGAGAAGGTGAAAAGAAGCTTAAGAAACTGACCTTTCTGAATCACTTAAGATTTAGAAAAGTTGTATTTCACAGAAAAATGCCAAATAACAGTGGCCTAAAAACATAAAGTTTATTTCTTTCTCAGATAAAAGAAAGCTAGAGGTAGACAGCGCCAATATGGTAGTTCCACCAAGTTATCAGAGACGCAGACTTCTTTTGTGATCAGTCTTGCTCTGTCATGGGTGACTTCCGTTTCTAAGATCATATCTAGTGACCCAGGGTGGCTGCTTTAGCTCTAGCCGTGAGGTCCACATTCCAGGAAGGGAGCACTCTCCTTTATAAGGCAATTTCCTGAAGGTTCTGTATAACCCAGCTACTTGCATTCAGTTGACTAGAGCTGCGCTGTCCATTATAGTAGCTTCTAGCCACATGTGACAATTGAACATTTGAAATATGGCTGCTCCAAACTGAGATGTGCTGTAAGTATAAAACATACACTGGATTTCAAAGACTTCATATATAGAGAGAGAGATTAAAAAACTAAAATATTACATAAATTAAAAAATTGTGATTATATGTTGAAATGAACATGTTTTGACTACATTGGGTTAAATATATTATTAAATTTTTTTTACTTTAAAAATATATCTAAAAAATTTTAAATTACTTATGAGGGTAGCTTTATATTTCTATTGCTGGGCTAGAACTTAATCACACAGACAAATCTGGCTGCAGGGGAGGCTTGGGAATGTCGTATTTTGATGGCATGACAGTGTCTTCAGCTGAAAAATCAGACTCTTGTGATTAAGGAGGAAAGGAAAAAGGGTGTTTGGAGTAGGCGTTAGCAGTGTCTGTCATATTCCTTTTTTGTTTTTCCTGGAAAGTTGGAGGACAGATTAAAAAATCCACATGGTGGGCCAGCCGAGTGGCTCAGTTGGTTAAGAGCTCGCTCAAGAGTGCNGTCTCAAACCAGTTCTTAACCAACGCGCCACTCGGCCGGCCCAAACAGGGTCTTAATAGTACCTTCCTCAGATGGATGTTGAGAGAATGAAATGATGTAACATATGTAGAGATCTTAGTTCGGTGCTGACACAGTAAATAATAGCTCAGTGCTGACACAGAGTAAGTAATAGATCTAAGTAGTTATTCTTTGCCTCATGAGGGCAAGGTCTGTGTTATATTCTCTACAGAAGTTACTGCTGTGCTGGGCACAGTAGGTGTTGAGTAAACACTTTTTAGTGGGTTTTGAGGAGCATGGAGCTTCTGCTGTTCACAACCGTCTCCTCACTGCTCCCCAGTCCCTGAAAGACCAAAAAAAGCAGCCCCTAAACCTGGGCAAAGGCAGTGTAGCCTAGCAGATGATGTGGAAGATTGAGTAACTGGCAGGAAAGACAGGGTGATTAAGGAGGGGTGGATGGGTGGTGGAGGACACGTGTAAGCAACAGGAAGCTAAGAGGGAACCAGCAAGAGCCTGTTCTGTGTTCCACCCTCTAGCCATCAAGGTCAGCACTGCCCAAGTCATTCGAGTCAACTGGCGATGAAATGGGGGCCAACCAGTCCGTGGGCTTTCCACCTCTCACAGGACCCCACCACGTGGGCTGCGGGGATGTGATGGAGGGCCACGGTGTCCAGGTAAGTGTCTCCAGCTCCGTCCCTGCACATCTCCACGGCTTCTGCCTGCACCGTGACTTAGAATAGCCAATCTGATGATGCAATTCCAGGTGGGGGGTAACTGAGCTAGAGCCGGTCTGGATGTGGTTATAGAGCCCTGAGGTCTGTCTTGCCTGACCTTTTTCTTCCTCCTTCCAATGAGAAACCCCTTGATAGAGATGATGGGTTCTTTCTGTAGCTAGCAGGAAAGGGGGGCTCTGGCTTCAAAGGCAGCTTTCAGATCCTCTCACCTGTCTTGAGATGCCTGATCCTGGAAAGGTGTTCGATCTCATACTAATCTGAGTGTATGAGAGGACGAGCAGTGGATCGTGTGCCACTGGCTTCCCATTGACTCCCCATCCTGGATAGGAAGATAGTCTCCTTTTCTTCCTCTCCTGCCTTCGTTTACTTCCCCCTCCTGCTTTGGCTCCAGACTTTTCCTCCATCAGTTCCTAGGCCCCTTCTCTGCTGGTCCTTGGACTTCCCTCTCTCTTGTGAGAAGCACATACTTCCGGGGAACCTCTCACCTACTCCTGTGTAAAATGAGTGTACTGCTACTTACCAAGGGCCAGCCTGGAGGTGACCCACTGACCTACCCCATTCAGCACGAGGGCTGATTTCTCCCTCCCGGGGCTCCTCCAGGCCTGGGCACAGTGCCTGATTGAAATCTTCCAATGTCCCAAGCACTGCAAATATTTTGGTGCCTTCCAGACATAATTCAAAATACATTTGGATATTTGAAATAACATAAGCCTTACGTGTATGCTAAAAATGAAACTGCTTTTTTTCTGGATTTTCTGAATGTAAAATTCAGGTATATGAATTGAAGCTAAGATTTTCCTGTTTTGGTGTTTTGCTGGTGCCCTGAACACCTCCTGAGTGTGTGTGCTGGGAAATCGAGCAGTGCTTGGGCTTCTTGCTCTGAGCAGCTCTTCTTTTCTCTTTCCTACAGGGGAGCTTCTTTCGGCTCTTCTACCCCTGTCTGGAGGCAGAGGAGACCGTGGAGCAGCCTCTGTGGATTCCCCGTTATGAGTACTGCACTGGCCTGGCCAATTACCTGCAGTATAATAAGCGCTGGGGAGGTTTGCTGTTCAACCTGGCTGTGGGTAAGAGCTGGCCTCACCCCGCCCATGCCTTCCAGCTTCTCGGTTATGTTTCTAGGAGAGCCCCCAGGTAGACGCGGTACTTTATGGCTTGCATTGTCCTGTTCTCTCGTAGTGGGGCGTCCATTGGCCAGCATGGTGTGGAGAGTTGGGAGAGCATTCTATAATAAGAGTTTTCATTAAAGAGTTAGATTGTCCTGGATTTGAATCCAGACTTTATCATTTACTAGCTGTAGGGCTTGGGCAAGTTACGGAACCTGCCTGAATCCCCGCCTTAGCAGGTTTCTAGTCTGGGATGTATGTGAAGGCTCTAGTGCAGTGCTGGGGGCATGGAATGTGTTCCATAAATGGTGGCTATTACTCATTTATTCAGCATGTATAATTCCCACTCCGGGCTAGCTATTGTGTAGATCAAGGAAGCAATCCTAGCTGCCCAGGAGCTTACTGCCTCCTGCAGCTCCCCCTCCAGCTCTCTCCTCTTCTGGGTAGGGTCACATTGAATCATCCGCTTGCCCCAAAGGCCCCATCATTAGGGACTTGACCCACTGCCTTGGCATCTCAGGAATTTGCCCCCTAGTTGTTCAGTACTTCCCATTTTCTATTGTGTTCATGCATTCCAGGGAAGAAAAGGTGAGTGATTGCCCTGGGCTGCTCAGGGGCGCATGGTGGTCCTCCAGACAGGAGGGACAC